AAACGCCGTAATAAAAGGCATTTATCAAAATGAGGCAAAGGGCAAAAGGGAAAAGTGGACAATCAATAATGATAGACCAAGTAAATCTATTATTGGGAGCTGTTTCATTAGGGTGCCTCGTAAATGGCGAGTGTCGTGCACGAACACACACACACACACACACACACACACACACACACACACACACACACACACACACATGGCCTATACCGGGGAATCTATCAGTGTGCTTCATCCTCTGCTGCGAGAGTCTGACTGAAGGAGCTTCAGAGCTCAGTTCATGCATCTTATTGTTACATGAAGCCAGTTCTCCACCACTGACCTTTTTATTCACCGCACGATACATTGTTAAAATAATGTATGAGGTGTCGTCGCCTCTGCCGCTTCATTGTGTTGTGTTACACACAGCAGTGTGTGTGCAAATATTCTCCATGTACAGTACAGTAGCCGAGAGGCTGTTTTACAGTGTAAAATGTGCATGAAGTGAAATGTTTAGATGCTTTTTCCTCATAATTTTCAGCGATGCACCATTTTCATCTGCATCTCTTTGCCCTTTGCTTTTATCTGCGCTGAAATGGAAATTTCCCCCTGCTGTCATGTAGCAAATGCTTCTTTCAAGTTAGAAATAATCTTAGTTTTGTGGCTTTAGAGTGTTAAATTACAGAGAAACCAAATAAACTTTCTCTTTTCTGTTTTTAAACTGTACTGTTGGACCTCAGCGGCTGATTTATCAAGAAAAACCTTTCAGAAGATGCAGAAAAATTCCCTCACTAAGAAGACATGTATTGATCTTTGATAATATGCATGCACACGTGTGTCACAGTTTTTAAATATAACACCATTAAACATGGTGTGATTTGATGCAACAAGAGAATGTTTTCTTGTGTTTTTGGGCAACAGTAATTAATTTTTGTAAAAATTTGCTCTGACTATGTGGACTGGAGCTGATGAGCTCCTCAGAGCTAATCTGTGTTTTGTCTCCCTCGTATAAACACAGTTTATCCAGAGCGTGGAGCACGCTTGATTTGACACATTACTGCTGCTCATTTCAGTTACTGATGAAGCACACGGTTCAGGACGACTGAAAGAGGGGATAAGAGGGATAGAGTGGCGGGAGATGAACTTATTATGGGATGACAGGATTTTACAGTTCGGACGGCAAAGATGTGTGCTTAGCTTTGTGCCGTTCCTGTTTATCTTTTTTGCAGGTTTGCATTTATGAATGCCTGTGTGTAAACAGGTAACTGTGGGGGCTGTGGGGTGAGGGTGTGTGTGTGTGTGTGTGTGTGTGCAGGGGGGGACAGTGACTCCAGCACCTCTACCTCTTCCCTCCTTTCCCCTTATTTATTTGTCTGTATTAGTTAGCCCCTTCTCCGCACTTAAAATTAATGTCATCCAGCACAAAATAGAGGCTGAAAGCTAAAATTCAGCACTTTCTCCACAGCCCGGTTATTTATCAAGCTAACAAGGAGAAGATGCATCCTGTTTCAGCCGGGCCCAGGAAATATGTGCCATTAAAGCCCAGGGCTAGTGTTTGAGAGCCAAGGAATAAAAGTGAGCGTGTCAGGGAGAGGGGATGGACGGCGTTGCCAGCAGTATGGATGAAGCGAGAGCAGCAGACACATTTATATAGGAGACAGTAGATACACTCAGGTTGCAGCATGAGAATACACACTCTGCATGTGCTCTGTGTGTGTGTGTGTGTGTGTGTGTGTGTGTGTGTGTGTGTGTGTGTGTGTGTGTGTGTGTGTGTGTGTGTGTGTGTGTGTGTGTATAAGAAGTGCTGATTCGCTGATGGCTATAAAAGACGATCCTTTAGGGGAAACAGAAGACATAGTTTGGAGCTTTGAATAAATCATGCGCTGCCAGAGTGAGCTTAGCACTAATTTTCTCTTTAGGAGAAGGATGTCGAAACACGTCCCGAGGACTGTTAGTATTGTGCCGTGTTAACATCTCTATGGCATCAGGAGCTGGAGCCTGAGTGTTGGAATTCAATTAGACACCGGGTGCAATGCTAAGCAGGTTGCAGCGGGCAGCCACTGCAGGGAGGGAAGGGAGGAGAGGATGGTGACGCCGAGGGAGGGAGGAAGGTTTGAGTGTGTGAGAGGAGAGAAGAGGAGGGAGGCTGCGGGCTGGAGGAAGGCCCTGGGCTGCTGAGATTCGGGCGAATACATTAGATCACACCAACCTCCGGCTCTTCACAAGTTCCTGTCTCAATCATGCTGTGAACACACAGCCACAACCTGAGGACAACAATAGCTGGGGGTGTGCACACACTCACACACACACACACACACACACACACACACACACACACACACACACACACACACACACTGGTAACAGCAACTAATTATCTTTGAATAAAACAACACTGGGCTCAGAGAGCTGAAACAACAGTTGAAAACTCGGTGTTCATTTAAAAATGTTTCACTGGTTTTGCTCGGGGTGCAGCTTTGTGCTCACCCAAAACACACATCACATTTTTAAAAACAATCCACACAAAAACACAGATGTTCAGCTTGTGTACCTTTACAACTGCTGAGTGAATTTTTCTTCTCTTTCTCTCTCTCGCTGCTTTTTTCTGGTTGTTGGAACTCGGTTCTGCTACCCTGTCTTTTCAGACCGCATAACGAGCGTACATCCTGTTCATATTCTCGCTGTCATTTGGATTTTATGGATGGAAAGATGACGTCTGTGTCACAACCAAAACTGTGGCGGTGTAATGAGTCTCGGTGCTCAGCTGTAGTAGTTATATATATCCCAGGGAGTCAGGGAAGTGAAGTGTGTCACTCTGGATGGAGCAAATCCTGCTCGCTGCAGAACACTAAAGAGCCCAACGGTGTTTGTAAATGACAGCTCTGTATTTGAAGTTTTGGTGGTTTACACCTCGAGCTGTGCAGTTTTAGCTCCCCACCTAATTTCTTTTATGAAAACAGACTTGTTTGCTTTAAAACGTTCCTCTAAATTCAAATCTGTGCATTTTCTGGGAAGATAAAACGGTTAAAGTTTAACAAGAGAAATGCAAACTTTCCCCAGAAGCTGTGCTTATCTGAAACGCTGACGGAAACCGCAAAAACTTTTCAGGCTTTTCACCCCGCAGCACATTTCTCTGCGTGTTCAATTTTAAAACACTCTCTACGTCGTCATTGCCCGCGCTGCAGACGCACACCTTGACATGAGCACACGTGTCCTTCCTCCACTGCCACATCTAGAAGAACCTGACCTGCCTGCTGTCAGCCATGGAGGCACCTTGCTTCTCTCTGCAACCCCCTCCTCCTCCTCCTCCTCCCCCCCTCCTCCTTGCTTCTTTCCCCTCCAAGCAGCCAACTCTCCCCATCACCGCGAGTGGAAGACGAATTGCGTGAGGGGGAAGAAGGGATGACGGTGAATAAAGGGAAGGCGGAAGGAAAAGTACGGGTGCTGAACTGAGCGGTGGGGGCGTGGCTGGTGTAGCTTCCTCTAATGTGCCCTATCCACCCCCACCCCTCCCGTTCTCCTTGTGACCTCAGCGCTCCTGACAGTCAGAAAGTGCTGAAGCATGCAGGTGTCCTAATGCTGCAGCAACACACAAGCAAACACGTGCTGCACTCACACACACATTCACTCTCGCACAGGCACACACACATCCTGTCTGCTTTTGTCGCTTTAACGTTTTTCAGCACAACATGTTCACCTGTTTAGGACATGTCCGAAGCAGAACAGGACCCTGCAGCAAGGATTTGACTTCAGAAGCTTCCCAGTGCTGCACACATGGGGTGGGGGGGTGTCTACTGTGCTGTAAAATTAGCCGGTGCTGATGCTGTACTTTTCTTTGTCCAGCCTTTTAACTGTATGGGGTAAACCTGAGGTGTCCAGAGAGTGTCCTGTCCTGTGTGTGTGTGTGTGTGTGTGTGTGGGGGGGGGGGGGGGGTAGCATTAGAGAGTTGTATTACAGCAGTGATGGGTTGCCTGGCTGCAAGTCTGATACCTCAGCAGCACCCAGCATTGACCAGGCCTTTAAATAAAGCCTTCGATCCTCCAGCAACAGAGAAGGTCACCACCTGCCTCTGGTTACCCTGTCCGTCTGTCTGTCTGTCCGTCTGTCTGTCTGTCCCTCTGTCCGTCTGTCTGTCTGTCTATCTGTCTGTCTGGATCCACGGACAGGAGCCCTCCTGCCTTTCAGCCCTCTCCTCATCCTCACTCTGACGTTCACGTTTAAATCCAGGTGCCATGCTCCTCCCTAATCCCTCAACTCCTCCTTAAACTTTTCTCTGAGTCCTCCCATCCATCCTTCCACCTCCATCCGTCTTTATCACCTGCCTCTTCCAACTCCTCCTGTTTCTCTTCTGGGAATGCCAGATCTCGGAAAACCAAACGCATAAAAGCAATTAGCTTCACTTTCCCTTTTTTGACTCCATCAACCCCAGATAAAAATAAAGTTCTGAAGGTTTTCCCTTCAAACAGAGAAAGAAGGATAAAGGAAGTCAGGGGTTCAAGAGAGAGGTGAAAGGTCATGGCGTCTCTCCCTGAGCACCAAGCATGTCAGCCTCCCTGTCATTCAAGCTGCAAGGCAGAGCCCTGAAGTGATGCAAAACACTACAGAGTAAATGTCAGAAGGGAAGGAAGCTCCACTGCCACACAAATAAATACTCAGAGTGGAAAAGGGTGGTTATTAGTTGTTGGAAAAGAGTGATGTTGACCAAAAACCTGTGTTAAACAATAATGTAACATGGCAAATGTGTCTTTCTTCGGGATGTTGTAAAAAATTCTTGCAAAACTTTAAGTTTTATGAATTAGAACAATTTAAATAACTGGCTGTTTTGATGGTTTTTTTATTAAATAGCAAATTTTGCAACTCGGAGTTAAGGACGTGACACTTTTTGAGACTAAATGTACAGTTTAAAGAGCATGTTAAGTTTTTGGATGAAGCTGAAACACGACATGACATTTAGATTTAATTTGTGTTTTCAAAATGAGACAAACGTCTTTGGCAAAAAAGGCTAAAAATGAGCAGTTACCTCAGCCTCCGGGCTGGCGGGATCAAGAAAACGTAGCTCTCTATCACAGGTGGAGGAACTTTCTTGATGTCCTGCAAAAAAAATAATTAAAAATAAATAACATAACTGAACAAAAGTTTAAGTGAAACTCACATTTCAGCACAACATCATGCTAATATGGAGCGAGAGAAAGTACAGATAAACATTCAGACCTTTAACAACACTATTAAAGCTTGTGTGTTTTATTTTATGATAGCTTAGATTTTGTTTTAAAATTGTCAGGATCTGAAACACACACACACACACACACACACACACACACACACACACACACACACACACACACACAAACACGTTAAATCTTTATTTAAAATTTCAGATAATTAAAAACTTTGTTCTCCATCTTTGTAAATAAAGATTTATTCTTCAATTTTGGTACAAACAACTGCATCATAAATGCTTTTTTGCAGCTTTTCCATCTAATCAGCTTATGATAAACTGCCTTAAATATTCCCAGTCTGAGCATTGTTTCAGTCAGTTTGTGAGAATGCTGATTGTATATTTGCATCAATCAAATGATAGATTTTGTTAAACACAAACACTCATCCCACACCTGTCAGGAATGGCTGATTCTACTGAACCAACCTAAAAGAATGAAAATAAAAATTCTAGCTTTTAAGTTTGAAAAAGGAGCCAAAAGAGTGCTAGAGCTCATAAATTCCCCTTAAATCCATCCTGAAGCAACAATAAAGTTCATTCATTTCTCTGTAATCTGATTATTTGTGGAGCCAAGAGGACTCCGACCCATGCAGGAGCTGCCTGTGGCAGAGAGAGTGCTGCAGGCGGAAATCACCCAAACCACCTGACGGACTCTGAGATGTTACCGTGACGATTCTGCTGACAGGTGGATGTTTCCGCTCCTCAAAGATAAATCTGCATGTTCACAGCCTGTTTGATAAATGAAGGAATTCTCCAAAATAGCTTCTTTACTTTGTGTGCATGCTCTTGCTAACTCAAATAACCACACACACACACACACACACACACACACACACACACACACACACACACACACACACACACACACACACACACACACACACACACACACACACACACACACACACACACACACACACACACACACACACACACACACGCCCGCGTCATACAGGGTGCGGGAGGGCCCTGTGCTGGGAGGGCTGCGACATGGCAGCAGCGTGTGGGGTCAAGGCCTTTCCCAGGTAAATAAAAGAGAGATATGAGACTTCGGAGGAGCTGAATAACACGGTGGGTCACCTTGCCTGGGAAAGAGATCAATGTCTGTTTGACTGGCTTAAGGGAGAGGCCGACTGCTGCGCGAGGGTAAATCACCTTCTGACTTCATTGAGATGCAGGTAAAACACACAGTGGGGATGGGCTCCAGCTCCACCCTGCAGAAAACACCCTTCTGCCCCGTTTTCTGCATTTCAGAACTCAACTCACTCAGTTGTGGTCTCCCTCTCACATTTGAGAGGGAGACAACAGAGATCCAATTCAACCAAATGAGTATTTATTTCACGCCTTTTAGTTCTGCGTCCGAAGGACAGCCTCCAACACCGCCAAATGTGAATCTAGCTTTTCTACGATCATAGCAGACACAAATCTTTAAATTCAGATTCAGATAATCACATTTTCGGCACGAAGCTCATTTTTCTGTTTGCAAAGAGAAATCTAGCAGCAGAGAGACGGTTTATTTTCTGTAGCATTCTTGGCACATGCACAGCCGTGACAGGATGTCTCCAGGTAAATGATTAGGGTTTCAAATAAATGACATAACTCAGGAGGCAACAAGAGGGCGGGGTGGCGGGGGTGAGGGCGCTCTGCCACTGACGGTCTGGATGATAGACGGACCACAAAGGAACATAAACGCACCACGTTTAAATCACTTTAAATGTAAATGTTTATCGCATGGAGTCATGCAGACGCAGACTGAGTGGAAAAGATTGAAATCGTTTCCTCTTCTGAATGTGAATTTGATTTTTAACCCTTTAAGGGGCCTTTTTGTTACAGAATGAGCGATGAAACAAAACCAGTTACTTTTTTCATGGCGGGTCAAATTTCTGTTATTTAATTCTGGAGCAGCTGCTGAAAACCCTAATGGAAGACTTTACAAATCAACATGTCAGGCAGGTTTTTAACGTTTTTCACCAGGAAATCGACGGGTGATGACTAGCACTCTCCTGTAGATGAAAACCAAGAAACGTCTTTCTTGAAATGAGTGATTTTCTGGACTGAGCACGCTCGGTTAAACCTCGTAGACGTTGCTCCTCCACCACAAGGTCATCCATATCGAACTCCCACACAGACAGGTATTCAGAGAGCACATCCTTTGTCCCGCTAATACTGAGACATTAAAGCAAAGTACGTGATGATGATTCAAATGTCAATACTGATACATTTCAAAGGGATTTCCCATGGTTGACCTGAGAAACGGAGTCCAATATTGTGACAGCAGACAACTACATTATCTTTAATAACCTAATCATTGGACAGACTCCAAATGATCACAGTGCAGGAGTCAATATGCGTGGCCAGAGAATAGAATGGCAGTTCCTACTGATGAGATTAATAGTGCACTGTGTCCGTACTCTGAATGCTGCCTCGCATCGCTGCACAAACGAACCAGAAGGAGCAGAAAGACGCCGGTAGAGGCTGCGACTCAGAAGGAGGGCCTGAACAGTTTGTTTCCTTTGTCTTCTGGCTTCCCCAGCACAGGAAGTGAATCAGTGCTACTGAACCCTCCTGCCCCCCCGGTGTGTCTAGAGGTCAAAACCACGCTCAGGCAACGAAAACATCCCACACAGTTTCCACCGCCGCTGCACCCATCAGCAATTTCTCCACTTCAGCTTTCTTAAATGATGGAAGGCAAACATTAGAAATCTATATCGCCAAGCTGATCTCCTGTCCTCCACGTGACAAGTGAGACCCACTGACAGATCCCTCTGGCCTCCAACCGTAGTGTCTCTGCAGTTCTAAGGGTTATAACACAAATGTAATTAAATAGCTCACTACATTGACCTAATCAGATAGGAGGACCATAAATGAGTGGACACATGCTCCTTAAAAGGCCCTCTCCTCTCAGCTCCATGCATCTCTGATCGTTTATCATTTGAAAGGACCAGGATGGCAGCCAGCATCTCCCTCCCTTTTAGTCACAGACAAAATCATTCCTTCCAAGCTGCTCGCACGAGCGACACACGGACGAGCGACACACGGACCAGGTGACGCTGAGTGCGGGTGAGACGTTTGCACAGGTGAAAACAGAGTGAGTCACTATTTTGATCAGAAGTTTCGACACGATGAGGTAAAAAACAGGTCTCTTTAATATCTGATCGTGCCATACAAATGCGTGAAACTAAATCAGAACTTTCCTCTCTTGTACACTCTCTCCAACACACACACACACACACACACACACACACACACACACACACACACACACACACACACACACACACACACACACACACACACACACACACACACACACACACACACACACACTTACAGTTCTAACCACAACGACTTCCTGCAGCAGGCGCTGTGGTGGCGGTGACCTTGTACGGAGTCTCAACTCAGACCCTGTTCAGCTTTTATCTGCTCTTTAAAATGCGGAGTAGAAGCAGTCTGGAGGCAGGTTAGAGGCTGCACACCCACCAGAGGCTCCAGCATCATCACTACCTCTGCCTCAAGTGGCTTTTCTTCCTTTCTTTTTTTTATTTTGTTCAACATTTTTCACCCCATGAATAAAAAAAAACATCTGAGTGTGATTGAGTTAATAACTCCTAAATAATAATACTGACAAGAGAGAACAATTTAAAGGCCAATCATTTATTTCAACGACTCTCATTATTAAAACATATTTTTACTATAGGGTATTGATTATAGTTTTTTTTTTCATTTTTGCAAAATCAATATGTGATTTTTTTAAATATTCGTGTTCATTTCATGCAGAACCTGCATCGTGTTTGTCTCAAACTGCCTGACTCCATTCAACTGGTGGATGAGGAAAAAGTGCAAGTTTACTCTAAAATAAATCATTAACTCTGCGCTTCTGACAGAGCTGCAGCAGAAACCCGTACAAGCACGGAGCAAAATGATCAAATATATGCAAAACTTTTGGAAATGTGCCTTTTCGCGCGCGATCCTTAGAGAAATTCCGTTTTTCCTTTAAATCCCAGAATTGTAGCAACAGGTCAAGGCCGTCGAGTTTATCTATAAAGAAGCAAAAATTTTAAGTTTAAAGAGGGAAATATTGTAACAGTACGAATGCGATATGGTGAGACCATGGAAACGGCGCACTGAATTATCATTATTATTATTAATAATAATAATAATAAGCTGCTTGCGCTCAAATACCACACAAACATGTTAATTAAATATCTCTGTTGCTAAAGAGATCACGTCGTAATTTCTCTCTCTCTCTCTCTCTCTCTCTCTCTCTCTCTCTCTCTCTCTCTCTCTCTCTCTCTCTCTCTCTCTCTCTCTCTCTCTCTCTCTCTCTCTCTCTCTCTCTCTCTCTCTCTCTCTCTCTCTCTCTCTCTCTGTGTGTGTGTGTGTGTGACGTTGTATCGCCTCTCCAAAACACAAACAACATAAAAATGAGCAGGAAAATAAAGGTGATCAGGAGAAGATTTGGGTCCATTCATGAAGGTTTATTGATGATGTTTCGTATTTTAGGACTTCACCGAAGCAGCCAGCTGTTCTGCTTCAGCACGTTTGACTGAACACACACCGGGGTGAACTTTCACCTCAAAACACTTCAGTTTTTTACTGAAAAGAAGAAAATTCTTAGAATTACTGCTGGTAAAACTAAAATGTTTGAGTGCATTTGCTGAAATATTTAGAGACTTTAGTTTTTATCTCAATTCCCACTTGTTGATCGCATTAAAATACATTTATTTAGTCGTTTTATTTACCAGAACACTGTTTATATCCAGATGTTGTTCTCTCAAGGCCTTCATTATAAACCATCATCGGTGTTTTACAGACTTTTTTCCGCACGTGGCTCAAACAGAAGCTCCGATGTTTACCGATGTGATGTTATTATTAAAATAATAAAAATAACAACAAAATAATAACAAAAACAACAGAAAACCGTAAAGGCGGCCGCTTTTCCTAATGAGATGATGATGCAGTGATGGTAATTAAAGAACAAAACACAAACGTAATAAAAAAAGACATAAAAAGAAGATCCGTGCATGACCAGCATGCAGCAGTTCACACAAATCAGCATTTCCAAACTTCTCATGAGTTTTTGTTTTATTACAAAATCAAACCAAATATGGAAAATATCAAAGTAACTTGAACTTTAAACAAACAGCTAACTGAGAAAAAAATAAAGTTGTTGCGTTTGAGAAGTTTAATCGTTTCAGAAAAACAAAAACATTTTATGTAAAGGATTTTTGGGAGGAGCGCATGACTGAAGCTCGGACAGATAAAGGTGTATTTAGATATATTTAGAGTCCGTTTGGACGAGGTGAAAAATGATTCTCATTTTGCCACAAAGTGCTTTTAAAACGACAGAAAACCTGATTCAACAGAAAAGCTGCTTTTGAAGCTGCGCGCAAACTAAAACTTGCAAAGTTCTGCTAACTTTTTTTCAGCACCGAGACTCACATGAAAAACTCCGGAGATGAGGGGTTGTTGTCACTGCTGGACCCTCCGTTTTCTCGGAAGCCGGTGCTGATCAGCTTCTCGTATTTCTCCTTGTAGGCGTCCCTTTCCCTGGCCAGCCGGGAGATCTCCTGCTTGAGGTGGTCCACCTGCTGCATCAGCTGCGTCTTCTCTCCCTCCAGGACGTGCCGCTGCTGGACCCGCTTGTATCGACAGGATTGCGCATAGCCTCTGTTCTTAAGCGTCCTCCTCTTCTGTTTCAGACGGATCACCTCTTCCTTGCTGACCCCTCGGAGCTGCCGGTTCAATTCCCGCACCGACATGGTCACCAGCTGCTCGTCCGAGAAGCGCTCCTCCAGGCGCATGTGCTGGTGGTTGCCCCCCGCGCCGCCGCCTGGCTGAGATCCGGAGGAGGGGTGGTGTGTCCCCGTGTGGTGGTGGTGGTGATGGTGGTGGTGGTGGTGGGGAGCACCGTTCTGGGCTGCGGCTGCAGCGATGACCGCGGACACCACAGCGGCCGCTGATCCCATCTCCTCCCCGGCCATGGCGCCCGCTGCCCCGGCCGCGCCGCCGAACTGCTGCCCTCTGGCATAGCCATCAAAGGTTTGGAGCTGGTGACTGCTGCTGATCAGCGCCTCTACGGCGTCCTCTGGGCTAAAGCCCAGAGCCTCGGGGTTCAGCTGCTGCTGGTACCCGGTCATCCAGTAGAAATCCTCCAAGTGCGTCTTCTGCTCGCTCCCTGATCCCGGACTGGGCGCCGAGAAGCTTGGAGAGGGGGGAACCGAGCTGCAAGGCGTGCTCATCGGGGTGGAAGACAGGGATCCCCCGGCGACCAGGCGGCTGCACTGGTTGATGCTGCGATCGGGCTCCACCGGCTCCTTTTTCACTTCAAACTTCATCAGATCGAAGTCATTAACATATTCCATGGCCAGGGGACTGGTGGGCAGGTCGGAGTTGCTCATTGCCAGCTCTGATGCCATCCTCTTGCTGTTGACAGTCCTCCAAAGGGGGTGAGGAGCACCTGTCAAAGTAGGCTGCTGAGACACGCACTGAGCCAGCTTGATTTCTTTATTTATTTTCTTCAAAACCGAAGGAAAAGTGAGTTCTCTCGCACTAATTGCGCAGCGCAGGTTCTGGTTTTGTGAGTCGATAAGTTTTTTTTTCTTCAGCCTGTGTTGCACAGACGCACTGGAGCTGCGCTGTTTCCTCCCTCTCTCCCTGCGTGCGGGTGTCTGAGCGCCGCTCTCTGTGTTTCTACCGTTTAACACTTCATGGCTCCTTTTAGGATTAGTGCGCCAATTTGAGGAGGTTCACGTATGTGTCCCGAGCAAATAGTTGCCTTGTAGAGAATGGGAGTAAAAAAAAGTAGAAAAAAAATACTCCACCCAAGGATTGATAGATTTTTTTCTGAGAGATCAGTCAGCCGACGAGTTAAAAACCATTGCTTAGTTTTATAGACGTCCTGACGTCAGGGCTGAAACATGAAATTGACTGAGACTCAGCCAATGAGTTGCACGGTCCGGAGACGTAATTAGCATAGTAGTAAGGAAAGCCCCCCCCCCACCCCCACACCCCCACCCCCACCCCCGTTAGACACTTAACATGCAAGCTTTTGTCATTTTGCACATGAAACATGTGAATAAAAATAAATCAAATTCCAGAGATTATAAACGAGAACGTAACTCATATTGTGTCTTTGGCAAATTGTTGGTATTTTCTAAATTTCACAGATTTTTACATTTGAAATATTAAAATACACAAATATGTGATTCCATAAAAGTTTGAAGAGAATTCAGTCTGCAATAACCTCATCATCTCACGTGCATGTTGAGAATTTTACACTAGATTTTGTCATTTATTTTGTAGGCGACATGTTATTTAAAGAATCAATCTGCACGTGCAAGCACAAGTCCTATAATAACAATAAAAACAAGCATTATCGTGGGTTTCAGTGGGGTTTCCTGGCTAAAATGATCTACAGATAGAGACATAGTTTATATAAACAGACGAAAAACAGATTAAGCTGATTGTTTAGTGCGCGAGGCAGTCACAAGTGCGTGCACGCTGCTGCTGCTGCTCGAGCTGCATTGTTTTGAAACCCAATGTCGCCACCTTTCGGCATAAATGCGAACTTCTTGTTGATTTTTCCTTCATCTCATGTGTGGATTTATGAAGTATTTATTATATGCTGGTCTGTGTCAGAATACCCCCCCCCCCCCCCCCCCCCCCCACACACACACACACACTGACTAGTTTGCAGCAGCATCTTCACATCTGTCCTTCTGGACCCTGACAGTCTCAATCCCACACATGATCGCTGCATTAGCGTCTCTCTGTTTCCATCTGCCTCTCCTGGAGCACATTGTGGCACATAAGAACAAACAATAAGTGGGGCTGTATGCACGCAGGAGCAAAGAGTAAATAGAGCGGTCTCCCTGGAACATGTCACATGGGGGAAGCTTCAGAAAACCATAAACCCAGCAGCAGATAATCCAACTCCCTGGTGTCCCAGCACAAGTAAATATTCTCCTGGTCCCTGTGACTGTTCATGGGGACTTCACATTAAACAGGAAGGATAAACATTGTGTTTTATTCATTAGAACACATAACAGAAGTCCCCTCAGATGCTTCAATAAACGAGAGCTACACGCTGCTGTTGACAAACACAGAGACTGAACATCAGCCACACGAAGTGCTTTTATAGATCAGCTTTTAGGTCTTTTAGGTCTCCTTAGTGAAGTGAAGGAAGCTCTTTGTAAATGGAAACTTTTTCAACATTAATAAAGTCCAAGACCAAGATCCAGGAAGCAACAGTGGACACTAGCTGCTGTGTGAGCTTTGGGGTTGTCTGGTCTCTTAAACCAGGATTTATCGGCTCAGAGTCTCCAGGGTTAACAAGCTGTGTATAGAGCTAATGCATCAACTTTGTTGCTGAGGGCTAATAGTCCTGTACGCAGCTCATTCTGCTTCCCTTTGGACTTTCATGTAGGCTGGCTGCCTTGAAGTTTACTACTGACTTTACTGTATTGAGTAAAAAATGCTCCTCTAGGTGCACTTAGGCATAATCTCAAGGCAAGAGGAGTCCAGCTTCCATTATGTGAGTTAAGAACTTTTGAAGGTATTGTAAAGACACACTTAAGTAGATTATATTGCAAGGCGGTATCTAAAAACGGTTATTTTTTAAAGAGCCTTTAGATTTTCTTTAACCAAGGCCCTGTCCACACGTAGCCGGGGATCTGCCAAAACGTGGATATTTTTCTACGTTTTGGCCTGTCATCCACACGAAAACGGAGTTTTTTCACACGAAAACGGATCTTTTTAAAAACTCCGGCCAAAGTGAAGATCTGCGTTTTCTCCGTTTTGGGTGTCTGTGTGTGGACAGACAAACGCGGAGTTTTAAGGTCCGCAACGTCACTTTCCGCGACAAAAAATGCTGACATCACGTGTGCGACCTGTGTTTACAGTAGCCGACAGCATGGAAGCCGTCAGAGCTGCGCTCACTTTATCAATTGTCCAAGCGCTTTTTGATTGTTTGTTGTTGCAAGCGGAATTACTGCTCCTTGCAGAAGACCACAGACGAAGGACGAGGTTAAGAACGGAGGAAGTACTACCGCCTACAGGTCTGGCATGTCCTTAACAACGTATTTATCCGGGTACGTGTGGACAGAGTTTTTTTTTTAAACGAGGTGGTGTGGATGCAAGTTTTTGGAGGGGCAGATATTCGTTTTTAAAAAACCCCGGCTACGTGTGGACTAGGCCTGAATCACTCACTTATCATCTGTGCTGCTGTGCAGGGTATTGGGGAGCTGGTGGCTATATCCAGCAACCGAGCGGCGGGGGGACACCCTGGACAAATCACCAGTCCATCACAGTGACACATAAAGACAAACTGGGCAAACAACCAGATCACTGATCGCTTGTCCAGTAAAGGATTAGGAGTTCATTTATACATTCATATTCAAGCTACAGGAAGTTAAAAGGGGACACTCTGACCTCTCATAGTTCAACCCTGTGAAAACACTGATGCATCTTGGGTAAAGAATAACGAGCTTCTGGACATATTTGTTTTTAAAGGTAATCATTGCATCACTGAAAAAAAACACCATTTCAAAAGGATTTGTGTGAGTGTTACAGTGAATCATCAGTTTGCCATCAGCATGAGAACACCGTATTTACCTCTGAAGTTCCATAAAGTTACAGAGATAATGTTTTTCCATCCATCCATCCATCCATCCATCCATCCATCCATCCATCCTTTTTCATCCGCTCATCCGGATTCGGGTCATGGGAGCAGTAGCCTAAGCAGAGAGTACCAGACTTCCCTCTCCCCAGCCACTTGGGCCAGTTCCTCTGGGGGAATCCCAAGGCGTTCCCTGGTCAGCTGAGAGACAATGTCCCTCCAGTGTGTCTCCGCCCAGTTGGATGTGCCTGGTAAACCTCACCAGGGACGTGTCCAGGAAAAATTCTAACCAGAAGCCAGAACCACCTCAACTGGCTCCTCTTGATGTGGAGGAGCAGCAGGTCTACCCTGAGTCCCTCCGGATCTACCCTGAGTTTCTCACCGGGTGAAGAAAACTAATTTTGACCACTTGAATATCCAGTCTCGTTCTTTTGGTCACTGTCCACAACTTGTGACCATAGATGAGAGTAGGAACATAGATTGACCGGTAAATCAAAAGCTTAGCCTTCTGGCTCAGCTCTCTTCACCATGACAGATCGGTACAACGTCTGCAGACGCAGCACCAATTTGCCTATAGACCTCTCACTTCAGCTTTCCTTCACTCGTGAACAAGACCCAGTGATACCAATACTCCTCCACTTGGAGGAGGACCTCAACCCTGACTTGGAGAATTCATTTTATCCTTTTCCAACCCCAGACCATGATCTCAGATTTAGAGGAGCTAATTCTCATCCCAGCTGCTTCACACTCAGCTGCGAACCGCTCCAGTGAGAGCTGGAGATCATCTTCTGATGAAGCCAACAGGACCACATCATCTGCAAAAACCAAAGACCCAATCACCAGGCCACCAAAACGATCCCCTCAACACTTTGGCTGTGCCAAGAGATCCTGTCCATAAAAGTTATGAACAGAATCTGAGAAAAAGAGCAGTCTTGGCTGAGTCCAACTCTTACGACTGACTGCTGGCAATGCGGACCGAGCTCTGGATAATGTTTTTGTTTCATTTAATTTTTATAGCAGGTTTGTTCATCTACATCCAGAGTGAAGCTGTAATATTTACCCAACACAGAAAGTCAAACATGGCATTTATCACTGTAAAAAAATAAGAAACTTTTCAGTAAAACTAAATCTGACTTTTATGCTTTTGGGAGACAACTCGTCTCTCAGAACCACGTCAAAAACAGCCAAAGCTATTCCCAGATTTAACAGACAGTAACTTCAATAAAATGACAGGAACTAAAGGATTTTAGCATGACTAAGATTATACATTATAATCATCCATTACATTCCCACTGGGAGGTGGGCTTCATTTCCATCCTCAATCCGTGTTTAATGCTGTATATTAAACTCTGGTGGCACTTCAAACGGAGGACAACCAGATGAGTGGGCTCAGTGGGCTCATCTGAGACACATTTAATTAGAAGGAGAGAAAATGAAATGTTTCGTGGGGTCTTAACTAACTGTTGTACCATTTGTAATAGAAAGAGGAGCCATTACAAAGAAGGGGCTGAGGGAATGACAGCACACCTCTACATGCCAGTGTTTTATGGAGGAAGTAAAAGCATGTAAAATCAGATAGCTTGCTTCTGCATCACAGAGAAGCATCTCCATATGTGGAAAGTGGTGCGTTTGATAGAACTGAGCTGCCTCTTTGGGACTTTACAAATCAATTTCCTGCACAGGGCGAAGCAGTTCGCGTGTGCAAATTGGATTTAAAATGTAAAAATCAAACAAAAAAGCTACCAGAATAAAAGCAGGTCATAAACAAGAGTTATATACTTTTATCCGATACATACACCATATGAAGTAACAAAGAAGTTGAAGTGCAGGGAAACCACACCACCTGGTGGCTGGCTGCAGGATAGGTTTTAAGTCCCACCCTACCAGGTAAATAAACAAGATTTTGGATGTGTCCAAATCCAGGGGCTGCATCCTTCCAACAAGGCATTTCCAAGGCAGATTATGTCCCAGCAAAAAAATAAAACAAGGCTGTCGAAACTCAAAGTAAATGTGTTCTTGTTTTCCCCAAATTTCGAGGACGGGACTTGTGTATACTTATCAGCAAAGGTTATCCCAGGGTTCATTGCCAGACGGGATATTTTTGTTCTTGTTCTAACGGCGGACAATGTGGGAGAGGATTACTGTTTTAAATGTGAGTATATGAATATCTGGTGGTAAAAACATAAAATGTATAGTGGTTGTGTATTTCAGCTTTTTTAGTTTGCTTTTTGGTTCATGAACTATATTTTTTGTCAAAAATAA